AAACATTCATTACTGCTTTATGCTGCATCAGGAGATATGCCGCATAATAGAAAGATTCTTTAATTAAACCATCATCTCTATCTCTACTGAGAATTTAGATAATAATACATCAAATATTCTAACCCTCAAATGTCTCTGACCCTGCCTGTCAACATCTGGGCTCAGTTTTCTCCTGAGTTTTTACCCCTGCAATAAATACCCTGGAGGTGGTTGGTCATCACAGCTTCCCTGATTAACCAAGGACCTGCCTCAGCTTCCTTAAAACTTCCTGTGAAGGTTAGTGACTTTCTTGTTTGAACATTTGACACCAAATACTAGCCACAAATCTGCTTCTGCATTCTCAGTGGTCCCTGGTCCTGCTGCTGGTCATCCCATACCCCCATTCTAAATGAACCATTCATTTCTTCAAACTGTGTGCTGGCTGAAATTTTAGGTCTTCTGTTGTGAGCATTACAGAATAAGTAAATCAGTAGATAATTTGGTGATTTATTTTCTTTTTTCTTTTTCTTTTTTTTTTTGCTTCATCATACAGGTTATGTGCCTTGAAAAAAACATAATTACATGATGCATATACATATGACATAAAACACAACATAATCTACATGAAATAATTTCCTTTCCTACATATATCAGCTGTATAACACATCACTTATTCTCCTGGTGGATGTTTAGAACAGATTAAATTACACTTCTCTGTATCATTTCTTTAAACCATCTGTATTCTCCTTTTGTCTCCATGGCTCCAGACATGTCACAGTCATCCATCAGTTCATTTTGGGCTGAGTTCTTATATCTGACCACCTCGTCACTGACCCAGAACCACAAATCCAGAGTGCAGGTGTAGCTCAGTCCAATCCAGACATGATCAGTCGATGCCTCCTTGACTTTCTCCTGGATCCATCTCTGATCCTCCATGTTGGTGATGGTGACCAGGCCATGGTGATGATCTCTGCAGTAGTACAAGGCGTCCTCCCAGGTTTTATTTTCTTTTATCAGGAACACGTTATCTGTTGAAATGAGGAAGAAAAACATCAAGTCTGTTGCTTCATTCTGGTCATTATTGTAAATCCATACATCCTTCCATCCTTGTCCAGAAATCTACATGCAAATATAAAATGACAACTCACCATCATAACAGATGAAGGGTTTTCTTTCATCACAGTTCTCATTCTTCTATCTGCCTCCATCATCAAACACAGTCATGGGACATTGACCACTGTTGATTTTCTGATTATTAAACTTCAGATTCCAATAAATATGTACTTTGCAGTTGTTAAATTTAACCCATTGTTCACTACATCCTGTAGCTGCTTCTTTCCACTGATCAGGTCTGTGTGTTTCTCTCTTTTTTTTTTCTTTTTTTTTCTACTTGAACACTAGACGAACATGTTGACTTAGTACTGGGCTCTTTTAGGAATAATATATTCTGGTAAGAAAAATACAAAAACATTTGTGAATGCTAATTTTTGTTTCTCCTAAAATTCATTACTAAAATGCTGCACTAAAGAGTTTAATTTAGTGTTATTGTTATTGTTCACCATTATGAAAAAAACTGCTCTGCAACGATTTCTACTGCTAATCATGTCAAAATGTTTGATATATTTGATATTTATATAGATGCTTTCAGATTCATATCACTATTTTGTCCACACTTTAAAATAACAGACACTGGAAAACTTTGTTTTTTTACCAGTTAATTAAACTGATTCTTTAATTCTCAGGAGATTTTCAAGAATGCATCAATACTTTACAGAAGAATGATCTCCATAATGTTAAGGAGAGACTATCACATCAAATTATGCACGGATATATATATACAGGCATCATATAAGGCAGTTTAGAAAGTTAAAAAAAAAAATACATGAGACCTACAAGAGTTTATCCTGTATAAATCTGAACTTTGCTTATCTGGACTGGTAAACAAAATTTACAGGAATGTAAAAAATAAACTAAATGTTACATAATTTTACTCTACATTAAAAAACACAGATAAAAAGTTAATCATTGATATTTTTTTCTTTGTACTGAAAGAAACTCCAGGGATGTGGAATTACAGCTCATAAGCTTTAAGTGTTAACTTATGCACACACTGACTGCCGTAGTGTAGAAGAATTAGAGTGTTATGTTGATTTACAATCCAAAATTATCAATTTAATGATAAAGAAGCAGGGAGAAGAAGTCTTTTTACCAAAGAGAGCTTAAAAGTTGACACAGATGAAGTTAAACTCTTCTCTGCCTTTCTTCTGGAACCACCGATATTCCCCTTTCGTCTCCATGGCTCCACTCATGTCACTGTCATCAACCTGTCCATCTGGGGCCTGATATACATCACTGACCACATCAGGACAGACAAAGAATGACAACTCACCATCATAGCAGATGAAGGGTTTTTTCTTCATAGGTGAAATAAAATGTGTACTTCAACAAAGTTCTTAAACTATTTTAAAAAGCACAATCAGGCAAAGAAAATCTTAAAGCTTATGACAGAAAAAATTCAATTTCTCTGTGTTATTTCTTTGAAACCACATGTGTTTCCCTCCTGCCTCAATGGCTCCAGATATTTCACAATCATTGATCTGTCCTTCAAAGGTTGCATTCTTCTTACAGACCCAGAACCAGATCTTCTGCAAGCAGCTGAAGCGCAGACCCAACCAGACAAAAGGAGTCGATGCCTCCTTGACTTTCTCCTGGATCAATATCTGTTCATCCATGTTGGTGATGGCTTCATACCAGGTTTTGTTTGCTTTGATCAGGATCACTTTATCTGTCAAGGGAGTAAAGGAAACAAACAATTCATTGTTCACACCTTTATTCATCTTATTATCCAGAAATCGTGGTAACTACCATTATTTTACAGAAAATATGGATGTTAGAGTAAAACGTTTCCTTTTTATGTATCACAAATGTGGATATTATTTGAGAATTACAAATCAGTACTTGCTAAATAAAATATGAACCACTTTTGAAACAAGAATGCACAAGAAGAAACACACAGTTCTTTTAAAACATCTCACCATCATAACAGATGAAGGGTTTTTTCTTGTTGCAGTTCTCATTCTTCCATCTGCCTCCATCATCAAACACAGTCATGGCACATTGACCACTGTTGATTCTCTGATTGTCAAACTTCAGATTCCAGTGTCTGAAAGAGAAACTGTTTCCATCTGACCACATCCAGGTGTCACTAAACAGACCGATAAATATGTACTTTGAATTTGCAGTCGTTAAATTTAACCCCTTGTTCACTTCTCCATCCTGTAGCTGCTCCAATCCACTGATCAGGTCTGTGTGTTTCTCTCTGCAGTAACTCTGAGCTTCTGTCCAGTTCTTTGAATCATAAATCAAGTGGTATTTCTGTGATGAATCATTTTGTGTGAAATAAAAAAGTCAGAGCTAAAAACACTTTCATATGAAAGTCTTGAAATAAACATTAATGTGAGAATCTAGATTAAAACAAATGAGTATTTTCTCACCATTATAACATAGAAAGTTATACTTTTCATTACAGGATATATCTCCCCATTTAAGAAAAGGGGAATTTTTCCATATAATCACACAGTTTTGGCCTTCAGATCCGAGATTATTTGGTTCTCCTGTTTCCCAGTTTGTCTCTCTTTCATTGAACTCCACTCCACTTAGAGACCAGTGCCATGATCTCTGTGCGTGTGTTTGATCATTCAGACCAATCCAAGCTTCATTTGTATCTCCTAGTGAGACACTGATGAGTCTCTTCATGTCCTTCATGTTAGTCACTGTGACCAGGTCAGTGTGTTTCTCTCTGCAGTACTGCTGAGCTTCAGTCCAGTTCTTATTCTGTTTAATGTAGTGAAACTCATAGAGCTGACAGTCCATCAGATGATTCTGAACTAAAAACAAAAAAACAAAACAGTTTTAAATCACATTACACCAGAATAAAACTTTTCTTGTATTCTCATCCAATGATTTTATGAGGGCTTTGACAAAATCTCCATATTTATTCAGATCAACTTACCCATCACAGTAAGAAAGAACAAGTACCACTGCATGATTACTGTAGTTTGTGTAGAGATCAACACTAGAGGAAAAGTCAACATCAAACAATGAATATAATTTATAGAAATCCCATCCCAATAATCTACATGTATATACTGTCATGAAAGACAAACTTACATTTGATTACGTCCTTTCACATAGATTCAAAATGATCCAACAGCTCGATGTTTGTTTGTAGACCGTCCTCAGGGAAATGCTCAGTCCCTGACACTGGGCTTTTGTTTTAGCACAAAAACTATTTGAATATTCAAACTTTCAAAAAAAAAAAAAAAAACCTATGCTGATTATTTGCGTCATGGAATCCAAAACAAGTGTAATGTCAGGTTTCATTACAAATTTTTGAAGTGTTTTTGTTTTCTTTCTTTTCCAGTTTAGATCAGAAACATATGGCCTGCTGTGTTCTGCAAGATCAGAATATTTTTTTGTCATTTATTTATAGTTCAGTTTTGTTTTTTGTTTTTTTTTAAACTGCTTCATTGTCATTTGGCCCAACTTAATTTGTTTCAGCTTAATATTTCAGTTATCTTGATTTAATGCTGTAAAACATTTTTGGAGGAAACACAGAATTTTAAAAATATGGTCAATTCTGATTGTTTTATCAAATTATTCTGGGATAAAAAAACTGAAGTATTTTGTTGATTCTTTTAGGTTTCGCCACACCAAAAAGAAGGAAAAGTTGTGTCAGATAAAAATGTTGCACATTAATTTTTTTTTTCACTGCTTTGTGGACATGAATGCTACTAAACAAGATCAATAAAATTACCACAAAGCATAGCTGCAGATTGTAGGGCATTTTAAAACTTAAAAATAGCATGATTGAACCTCTTTCTGAGAATATTTTCTTCAGTGACATAAAGAACATTTTATTTATGTTAATGTCATACAACATGTCTCACCACTGAAGACATTTTGATATCACTTTGCAGTTGTGTTTTTTTTTGTTTGTTTGTTTTATCATCAAATTCCTGTTTTTTAACCAGTCCAGTTCCAGCCATAAAACAAACTCATCTAAACCCAAAGGTGTCACAAAGTAACACTCAGCCTCAGTTTACATCCTGCTTGCTTACATTGTGGAATTACATCGGGTTAAAAAGATTTGGTAAGAAATAACCAATTTCTCGTTTTTCAGTCCAACATGGAAAAATGAGTTTCAAGCAAATCAGCAGTTTTAGGTTAACATTTGAATAAATGGTGTCTAAATTCAATATGCCTGATATTGAGAAGTTTTATTAGAACACAATAAAATCAAAAATATGTATCCCCTCATTGTCTACCGTACACAAAATATTCAAAGTAAATTTTGCGAAACTAAACACCCTGTGATGAACTTGATACGGCAACACTCTTTGACCAATAATGAACACAAAGAACTGAGTATGGCAAAACAGGTCTGAACATAAATAAGCAAAAAAAAAGATCTAAACACAAAAGAAAACCAAAACCCAACAAGCCTGAAAGGACTGTGTTATTACCACTAGATGTCTTACAATACTAAATAATTAGTAGTATTAGTTTTTAAAGTTTTATCATTTCAAAAAAGCTCAGATATTATAACGACACAAAAAAGCCACACATGATATGTGGAATAAATGTGAAGGAGAAGTGCACACTCATATCACTTGTGTCTGGTAATGGATTGAACACCAATGAAAATATGACAAGTGGTAAAACAATGTATTTAAAGAATTTACGGGTTAAAGAACCCTTCCCTCCACAGTTATTATCTTTTTATCTTACAATAAACTGAAGATTAAATAGGACCAACAAACACTTGTAGATTTAAGTATATTATTGCCAAAAAGGAGTAATGGCCAATTTGTGAAAAAGAAAATTAGAAAACCAAAGATAAGCAGCAGGTTTTCTAAATTCTCTACAATCTTTATAGCAGACAGAATTGATTATACAAAAAAGCACAAACAACACTTTCAGTAAAACTGCTGAGCTTGTTAAAAGAGCTGGTTGCACAGAACCAAGGTCCCGTGTTCTGAATAAGATTGTTTTAAAGTTAAATTTAAAAAAAGCACATGAACTGTATTAGTGTTGTTCATGTTGCATCATTGTCATATTTTACTTTTGATTCCACACGTGGAGGAAAACATGCAGCAGATGTTGCTTTCATGAAACACATCACATGACTTACTAACCTCTCTGGAGAAGCAGAGTTTGCAGAATCAGGACCTTTAAAAATGCATTTGAAGAAAGGACTCAAAATTCATAAATCAAGTGAGACGACATGATGTATTGAAACCTGAAAGAATCCATCTTTAATTATGCAATTCAGTTTCTCACGGAAAAACAACATTAGCATTAGTTTGAAATCTTCATGCTGAAAGAGATATATATTTTAATTAGAAATATACCCTAGAGAACTAAAACCACCATACTTTCTTTACGCACAATTTGGAAGTGTGTGTGCTTCTCTTCATCTCAGATTCTTTCTCCATTGAGTGAAGCGCTTACTGATAAGCCTGGATATGGAGCTTTTTTAGCTTTACAAAGCTGCTAAGTGCAAATTACTTTTGATATGACTGTACTATGCATAAACAGGCAATAACAGAATACACACCATGACTGAGTGAAAACAGGAACTGGGTGGTGGCAAATTTGTATCAATAGTTTACATGTGGTTTTAACAGAGCAAAAAAAAAATGTAATAATTAAGACACATAGCAGACAAAATTAAACTGCATATGATCAAATGTTTTGAACCACTGATATGGTCTTCCCGTCTCCATGGCTCCTGACATGTCACAGTCGTCCATCGGTTCACCTTTGGCCCAGTTCTTATAGCTGACCACCTCATCACTGACCCAGAACCAAAAATCCAGAGTGCAGGTGTAACGCAGACCCATCCAGACTAGAGGACTTGTGGCCTTCCTGACTTTCTCCTGGACCCATATTTGGTCATCCATGTTGATGATGGTGACCAGGTCATGGTAGTGATCTCTGCAGTGGTATAAGGCGTCCTCCCAGGTTTTATTTTTGTTGATCAGGATCAGTTTATCTGGGAGAGAAACAGATAATACATCAAACCTAAATCTCTGATCCAGCTGTTGTGACGATAAGTTCTTCAAAGCCTGGAAATGCTTCTTTGGTCTGGGCTTTGAAAAACAGCAACGCCCAGAACTGACACATTCATGTTAATGCAAAGTGAACAATAGCATGTCAATGACTGCCAAATTCACGCTTTCATTGACTGAATTGTTTACAACATAATCTGTAATATTCCAGTTCGTATTTCAAGCAAGTAGATTGTTGTTTTATAGTCACAGATGTTGAAGGAAAAACTCACCATCATAACAGATGAAAGGTTTTGTAACATCACAGCTCTCATTCTTCCATCTGCCTTCACCACTGAATTCAACCAGGGCGCATTGACCGCTGTTGAATTTCTCATCATTAAACTGTAGATTCCAGTGTCTGAAAGAGAAACTGCTTCCATCTGACCACCTCCAGGTGTCTCTGATCAGGCCCATAAACACATATTGTAGTCCGTTTTGCAGGTTGCCTGTCGAGTTCAATACATTCCTCAGTTGTTCATCAGTCACCTGGTCCAGTCCACTGACCAGGTCTGTGTGCTCCTTTCTGCAGTAACTCTGAGCTTCCAGCCAGGTCTTATTTTGTTTTATCAGATAGAATTTATCTGAAGTTTTTCTTTCTGTGGAGAGACAGTCAATGAGAGCAGGATGTGTTAAAAGTCGGGGACAGTTTCAGATCCCCAAGAAAAAAACCTCAAACTCTAAGTTTTATGAAAGTGGCCAGTTTGTCCTTCATCAGCCTTACCCTGTATGACAGCATTACTAAAGCAATAGCTCAGGATAACTTAAGCTTTGTCAAACCAAGTTTTAAAAGTTGACAGGGTGTCTTCTTCACAAACTAAAACTGGGAGCTGTTTCCACAGGAGAGGAGCCTGAGAACTAAAGGATCTGCTTCCTATTTTACTTATAGGAACCAGCAGTAAACCTGCAGTCTGAACTTAAAAGTGTCCACTAGGAACAAACTGCATTTAACAATCAGAACTCTGATGAATGAAGAAGCTTGATTTTTAATTAGATTTTATTCTGGATTTAACAGGGAGTCAATGAGGACGGCTAAAATTAGAGACATAAACCTTTTTGATATTTATCAGAAATCTTGCTCCACCTGCATCTCTGCTTCCTGGTCTGACCCCTCAGACCTCAGGATTTTGGAGACCTGATAAATTCAGCTAAATAAATAAATAAATAAATAATACAAAACCAGAGCAGCTGTTCTGTATTAAGTGGGATTAATGACATTTCTCAGGACCAGATTAGGTTTCCTCCAAAATGTTTACCTATAATCAATTTGTTTCCTGGACACCACCTACACAGCCAGTGGTGGAATGACAGCATGGTGCTCATCATGACGCCACAGGTCAGATCAGAGAAAATGACAGAATCTGGTGATGTTTTAATAAACTTACACACTGAAGCAGCTCTGATTGTAGTTACTGTTGTTTACTGTAAGCAAGGTGTCATTACCACCAGCATTAATGTGAGTTTTACTGATGTTCTTAGCTAGTTTTAAAAAAGATTTGATGGCTCTAGGCAAACATTTCATTATGGTCTCTGGTTTCTAACTGTGGGCTTAAAAGTGGGAACATTTTCATCATTGTATTTCTTTTTTCATGTTTATTTTAAAAGGGCAAAAACAAGACCAATTAATGACACAAAACAATCTTACCATTATAGCAGAGAAAGTACTTCTGTCTGTTGCAAGAGATGTCGCCCCACTTTAGACTTTCTGAAATAAAGCCACAGTTTTCAATATATATATCATTTGGCTCATCATGGTTCCATTCTGTTTTATTCACATTGAACTCCACTCCAGGCTGAGACCAGTGCCATGTTCTCTGTGCGTTTGTTTGATCATACAGACCAATCCAAGCTTCTGTCATTGTTCCTGGTGATTTGCTGATGAGTCTCTTCATGTCCTTCATGTTAGTCACTGTGACCAGGTCAGTGTGTTTCTCTCTGCAGTACTGCTGAGCTTCAGTCCAGTTCTTTTCCTCATTAATGTAGTGAAACTGATAGAGCTGACAGTCCATGAAATAAAAATAGCCTGTTAATAAGAGAAAAGAAATTAAGTAAATGATTTGTATTTATTTATTTATGTGTAATCTGAAAACTTTGCTGGTTCACTGAAGCTGGTTTACAATTGATCAAAACTGTAAACTATAACTATAATGTTTATTCAGAAGCACTCACCCAACAGAATGAGAAGAAAAAAATTCAGCTTGATATCTGCTTGGTCAAAGGTCAACAGTTTGTTTTCAAAGAGTCATGTCTGTTGGGAAATAAGTAGATTATTTAGACACATTCTGTCTGTAATAGTAAGAACAATTCAACTAGGTTTACCACTAATCCAGATTATTTTCTAGACAATTACATGTTTTCTGGCCAGGTTTTGTAAACGTTGCTGTTTTTGAGTATTCATCCATTCAACTATTTTATCTTGAGTCTTAACCCTTTAAAATATACATATCCAGTTGCATCCTTTCAGCAAGATGTATTAATCGGCTCATTGTTTTCGCATTTCCACAAGTTTCTAAATGTAATGAGCCACAGCTGCTCCTCAAACACACATCCAAGAATTATTTCAAGAGGTGAAAGACCAATAGCAGCAGAAAAGGAGGATTTGTGAGAGTACACTATCCAGGACAGACGAGGAAGTCCAGCTGGTTTGTCTGGATGAGATCATTAGTCTGAGAGCAGCATCCAGATCTGGGTTTATTAAAATGTTGTTTTGTAGATGGAAATGGAGATTTTAGAATACAGCTGCACACTTGTAGTAGTGAGATTCATTCCTAACAATCAGAAAGCATACATGTGACAAAAATATTAACCATCGACAGTTTTGATAGTCTTTTGGTTAAAGTTGAGCCAAATTCTCAGTGGTTATGGAAAGACGCTCTGTTCTCCTGGTTAATTTTTCACATGAGTTTTTAGTGGCTTTGTTTCTGAATGAACAAGATGTAATGGCTAATATCTCACAAACGAGATCACATTCGTGGAAAAACTACACAGAAACCTTACATTGAAGCAGAAAGACTTCAAGATGCTGCATGAACTGACGAGTAAGCACATTGTTGTGAGGGAACCCAAAAGTATCGCGTGGCACTACGCAAGGTAGTGCAAAAGAAAACACATTGTCCATTGCTCAAAGGGAGCTGTATATATGACAGTAGGTTTTTCTTCTTTCTTACTTTCCTCAAGAAACTTTACACAAATCAAGGTAAATGTCTAACATTTGAGCCAGTTAGTTTCAGAGAGGACTTTATTTTTATTATTATGTTACAGTATAGAGATAACATACAAAAAAAAAAAAACATTGAAATGGTTATAAAAAGAGATTTCACCGCAAATGAAAAAAAAATGACACATTTAACAATAGAACAGGAACACGATCAAATGATGAGTAGAGAAGAGACTTACATCTGGTTACATCTGTTTGGATGAATGGTTCGGCTGAAGACGGGTCTGAGAGAAATGTTGACGTCGCCTCAGAACAGACGGCTTTTGTCGGCAAAGAGACAATTTGAATAAACGCGTCACTCAAGCCTGTTGCTTGGTTACATAAATAATACAACTCTGGGACAGATAACCATCTGCTAGGGAGAGTAGCTTCAGTCAGTGGTGTTTAGATTACTTTGTTATAGTCAGGAATGTCAATAATTTAGTCAAAAAAAGGTAGAATATTTGCAAAAACATGAAAGACAAACCAGAAACGCTAATAAGAAGCTCTGTCTCGATTCACTCTGGTTCTCTATGAAAATCCAAGGTTTCTATTTGTGTCATCATTTTCCATAGATGTACTCATTTGCCTGTTGCAGCACAAAAAACAAATCAATGAAATATTTTTCCTGTAAATCTTTTAACTCCCTTCTTCCAAGAAACTCAGACAAGTGACTGCAGACCAATCACTGGCTCTGTCAGATGATTTGCCCCACTAAGTCACCGAGTGTCGAGTAAAGTGGAGAAATAATAAAATAAGTTTAAGTTCTGCAGCACATGACGGGGAGGCTGAATGTAACCAGATGTTTACAGACACCAAATAGAACATAAAACTGTTTGATACCAATACAATGGTAAAAAGTAAAAAACTCAACTAAAGCATGTCAGAGAAGAGCAGAATAAACCTTTTAGTTTAAATCTTAGAGCAAATAAAATTATGCTCCTCTCCGCCGTTTCTCTGGAACCACATGTGTCGTCCTCCTGTCTCCATGGCTCCAGACATGTTACAGTTGTCCGTCCGTCCTGACGTCTGGGTTGCCTGGGTTCTGTAAGCAATCGCCTCACGACAAACCCAGGACCAGAATTTCAGTTTGCAGTGGAAGCGCAGACCCAACCAGACGAAATAAGTCGATGCGTTCTTGACTTTCTCCTGGATCCACCTCTGATCATCCATGCTGGTGATGGTGACCAGGTCATGGTGGTGATCTCTGCAGTAGGTTAAGGCGTCCAACCAGTTCATCTTTTCACTGATCAGGATCACTTTATCTGTCATTGAAACAGAAAACAGAAAACCCAAAGGATTGTTCAAATTGTCAACCAAACCTCATGAATTCAACCAGTTTATTTTCTAATCACACTTGATGCCTCTCCCACAAGCTAATATAGAAACTGAAGACATAGTTTGTACAATCAATAATAGATTGGCAAAACATTCCCTGGTTGGATTTGTTTTAACCAGAAGCATTCAAATGACAAAGTAAAACATTTGTTGTAAATGACAAGAAAGCATGAATCTATCGGGTCTTGTATCCGGAACATTTTTGGGCAGCAAATTGACTGTTTGATTGTTTGAATTTGTGGAGAATCTAGAAGACTATTTTATTTTAAAAGCACATGAACATATCAAAATAATCCAAATCAGATATTTTTCGGTCTGTGCAGAGATATTACGTAAACTTAAACTAACCATCATAACAGATGAAGGGTTTTTTCTCATCACAGTTCTCATTCCTCCATCTGCCTCCATCATTAAACACAGTCACAGTGCATTGACCACTGTTGATTTGCTCATCATCAAACCCTTTATTCCAGTGTCTGAAAGAAAAACTGCTTCCATCTGACCACCTCCAGGTGTCTCTGATCAGGCCCATGAACATATATTGGTGATTTTCTTTAGACTCTAACATCATCTTCAGTTCTTCATCCTGTAGCTGCTTCGTTCCACTGATCAGGTCTGTGTGTTTCTCTCTGCAGTAACTCTGAGCTTCTAACCAGGTCTTTGCTTCTTCAATTAGATTGAATTTCTTTGAAGTGTTGTTGTCTGTGGAATTAAAGTCAGAAGACAGAGGTCTAAAAAAATCTTTCTCAGAATCGTTGGAATTCAAGAAAGATGAGAAGAACATTAGCAGCAACAACAGAAGAGGATAACTTAAGACTATCAATTAGAAAAATACATTTTTATCACATTTTACAGCTCTCTGAAAAGTTGTATCTGAATAAAACTTTGTTGAATTAAAAATAAATGTACAGGTCATTACCGTCATAGCAAATAAATTGTGTTTGTCTGTTACATGATACGTCTCCCCACTGGAGATGTTTCCATATGATCCCACAGTTCTCAGTTCCTGCATCATTTGGTTCCCCATGTTTCCAGTTTGCCTCCCTTTCATCAAACTCCACTCCAGGCAGAGACCAATACCAAGTTCTGGTACCATGTGTTTGGTCATACAGACCAATCCAAGCTTCCTTCATACTTCCTGGTGAGTTCCTGATGAGTCTCTTCATGTCCTTCATGTTAGTCACTGTGACCAGGTCAGTGTGTTTCTCTCTGCAGTACTGCTGAGCTTCAGTCCAGGTCTTATTCTCTTTAATGTAGAGAAACTCATAGAGCTGACAGTCCATGAAGCAACACTGAGCTGAACACAAAAAATACAATCACAAGAGTTTCAACATACAGAAGTCTGTCAGCTTCATTTGATTCACTTCAGAATACTCGTGTTACCATGCTTACATCTTAAGTGTAAATGCTTAAGACTAAAACATCAGCTGTAGTAATCATAAAGAGATACTTACTTGTCAGAATAAACAGAAATAGATTCCACTGCATGGTTGCTGGGTCGAGTGGAGGTGACCTTTTTCACATTTAAACTCTTGTTAAATGTTTTCAGCCACTGTAAAAAAAAAAAAAATTAAAAAAAGGCAAACAACAGACTAGACAGATACATATTTCCCTCAAGGATTATCAGAATATCTGGTATTTACAGCTTTTTTTTTCTTTTTTTCCAGCCACTTTGGTTGCATTTCTCTGATCAGAAGTTCAATTCTCATAACTGTTAGTTCAACCTCTACAACACTTACTGTGCTATTTCCAGACTACTGCAGCTTAATGTAGACGCATACAAGTTATTAACACAACTTTAAATAACAAGCAGACGAAACACTTACGGTTCTGTCCTCTCGATGAGAACAGCCTTGTCCTGAAATTCAGCTGAAGGCAGAATTATGGAAATGTTCAGCCTCACCCATGACTGATTATTTTGTTTGCTTAGAGACCTTATTTCAATAAACCAAAAAGGAAAGCACCATGCATGTGAGCTGTTTCTTTGCACACTTAAAAGGGAACAATAAGACGAGGTGGCAGAGGAACTGACCTGAATGAAGATTTGACTCTTAATGTGAAGCTTTCGAGGGTTAACAGATCCTGGTGGTTGGATTTGATGACAAAGTTAACCAAAAATGTGGCATGCTGTTCTTTTCTGATTTTCAACATTACAATAAAAAAAAAATAAATAAAAAACACTTAAATAAGACAAAATAATTGTCACTTCAACTTGGGACCCCTATCATTTAACGTTTTTGTATTTTAACTTTTATAATCAGTATAAAGTTTCAGCATCAAAAACTTACCAAGAACTGACCAAATAAAAATTTAGTAAATATGAATTCAACTAAGTTGAGAAACAATGTATGGAAATTACAATCATTATAAATTAAATTAAACCTGGAGGATATATATATATTATAATATTTTAATCTTAGAAAAAAAAACAACAACAAGCATAACATGAAGAGAAGAGAGGATGCAAACAGCAACACATTTAGCTGACAATATTTGTGTATTTTTTTGCATTTTGTACTGATTATATCTGATCATTTCCCTACGGCAACTTGACTCTAGAAACAGACTCAACACTTTTACTAAACAAACAGACCCATAGAGGTACATTAGTTGTTAATGTCTTGGTCGTAATGCAACTTTTTGCAATGATGCATCTCCATAAAAGATGCTGTGAGGATCAGCAGGAGCGTTTTTAATGCTAAAATACACACGCAAAGGTTCGAGATGGAACCACCTGACAAACACATTAAGCCCGGAAAGTTTCTTAGCGTCGATTTGGCACGTTACACATGTCACGAGATTTTGAGACTTTCAGTGTACCGATAGAATGGTGTTGTGATCTAGATTATCTGATTGTCCAAAGGACAATGTTGCCTATCACCTGTGGCTTGTACATATGCGATGTTTAACATCTTACATTTTTCTCAAAGTCCAATTTATTTGAAAGTCTGGGATTGCATTTATCTTTGTGTAAATGTAATAAAGCTGTAAATTGCAGCTGCATTGGGATTATTGCTGTACGTTTCCTAAAATTCCCAAAATGCAGTGGGCTATTCTGGAACTTTCTAAGAACAATCAGCAAATGATCCTGACGTGTGTTTTTTTTTTTCCAATATGTGCTGAGAGGAGACAATCACCTTTAAAACTTTGCTATACTATATGTATAAAATCAGTAAAAGTAATAGTTAAGTTGCTGTAGAGAATTATGATGGTACATTTTGTTGGAGGAAATTCGTGCTTAGGGAGTTTACTTTCATAAAAATGTTTGTTACTGCTGCACATGTAGGCACATGTGAAATAAAACTGGCCTAGTGATCAAATCCAGGCTTACATAGTAAATCGACTGGACTGAAAAGACATTTTGTTGGGCTTCTGTACAAAGACAATAAAGACAAATGACAATAATAAAAAAAAATAATAGTAATTTATTATTGTCCTTTAGACATTTGATGCTGCAGTACAGAACCAAGGAGACACACACCTGCGTTAACATTTCATTATTTACATTATTTTCCTCCCTTGTGT